CAGCTAATCTCTGAAAAAAGTACTAATTATTGTTTTAAAAAAATTGAGGGTTGATATTAATCTTTGAAATTGCTTCCTCCCAATTTTTAATAATATCCAAAAATCTTCCCTACATTTTTAATGCTTGTTCTGAATAAAATGTCTTAATTATTACCTTTTTCAATGTAAAAATGTAAGATCAAACCTTAAGTATATCCGAAACTGATTGGTGCTTATTGGTTTTCTAATTACAAATGTAAAACTAATTCTATTAATTTATTACTCCTTTATTAAATTCCTTTATCTATGCATTCAATAACTTCTTAAAATTTGTTCATTTTTTCTAAAGTTTTGACTTATAATTTCATTTCATAGCTTACTTTTAGCTTTGTAAAATGATAAATTCAATTCGTTTTTTCGAACTCCTTCATCCCAACACTCAAGAATTTCTAAAATTCTCTACTGCTTTTCTAATGCTTTTGCTAAATTATTAGTTTGAGTGAGTGTCATACCTTTTTAATCATAATAATAAAAAATATTTCTATTTTACTTCATTCCATAATCCCAGCATTCAATAATTTCGTGATATCTATGTTATTTTTCTAGTGCATTACCTATATCAAAGTTTACTTTTACATTTTCCTAAATAGAATAATTATTAATTATAAAGGTTGCTTTCAATTCCTAATTGCCAAATTAATATGATTTCTTCCAATTTTCCCACCTTTGCTAATGCATTTGCTTTATTTAAACATTTTCTTACTTAATTTGATATAAAAATGATATTCACTCTTTTAATAATTATTATTTGAACCCCAATAATCTATGATCTCTTATGTTTTTCCTTAATTAACTAATGCTAAAACTAAAATATCAATATTTATAACTCCTCTCCAGAAAAGCCCATTAGACATTTTTATTATTTGTTATGGCATGATCCCAACAAGTAATGATCTCTGCATACCGTTTCTCTTCTTCTAATGCCTTTGCTAAAATATGAGAGGATTCTACTTTTTTCATAGTAGAATAATTTGTTATGGGGGTTTTATTGTATACCTCTTTACCAACAATCTAAAATTTATTATTTATAACCATATCTTTTTAGTGCTGAAGCTAAAAATAGACACACTTAAACCTTTATACAGATAAAAGTTAAGATTTGACAGATTTTATTAAATCCCTTAATCCCAACATTATAAGATTTCTTAAAATTTACCTTGTTTTTCTAATATCAAAGCTAAAGAATTAGAGAAATTGTACTTTTTTGTAAATAAAAATATAATTCGCTTTTATTTTAGAATATCAAACTATCCCAGTAATTAATAATTTCATTATCTTCAACTTGCTTTTCTAAGATCTTTGCTATATAAATTAAAATTTGACAATACATTTTTCTATGTAATAACACTTTTAATTAGCATCTTATTGAATTGCTTGATCCCAATTATTTATTATTTCATTTAAATTACTTTGGTGTTCTAAAGTTATTGCTAAGTTAATTGCAAAAAAAATAGAAACCTTTTAATTAATAAAATTCGCATCTTTTTTTATTTCTTTCAATTCCTTAATTCAAACAATTTAAAGCCTCTTAGTATTGTAATGCTTTTTCTAAAAAGAGAGCTAAA